AACTGTGACAAATCATACCCAAAAATTCTTCATATAGTGGACTACCAGTAAAACTGATTATTAAAAATTATTCAGACCGAGTATGGGAAAAAAATTGAAGTTCAGGTTTGCATGAAGCTGACAGCATGCCCAGGAGACTACAGGCTGTCATTAAGGCTAAGGGTTGCCCGACTTAGTATTCATAGTTGTGTAAATACTGTCATACTAACAGCTGTCTGAATAATTTTTGGTTGATTGTAATCTATTACATATCTTTCTATCAAAGTTCTCTAACATTATCAAGATTAATTTGTTCTGACACAGTTTAACTCTGAGTTCTTGTCATATTTTATTACCATTTTCTAAACTATAGCGAATAAACTGTGATAATGTGAGAAATGTTGAAGGTGTCTGAATAAATTTTGGTTTGACTGTATCTATTTGATAAATGAAGTTAACCAACTAACATTATACATACTCTTTTGGTTTCTGTACCCAATATTTAAAAAATTTACAAATGCAATAAAAATATTGGTATCGGTACTCGGTATCAGTACCAAAAATAAAAGTATCGGTATCGGGCGAGTACTGGAAAAAGTGGTATCGGTGTATCCCTAGTTTCTACCATCACTAATGAGCAACAATGGTATATGTCCATTTGAGCCAGACACCCCTTATGAAAAAGAAGTTTATTCAAGTGTGCTATTAGCATACTTCTTTTAAACTAAAAAATAGGAAAGTATACTTTCAGTCTACTTTTTATGTACTTCTCATAAATGTGCTTTATGTACTTCTCAGAAATGACATTTAAGTATACTTGGCTTATTCTTAGAAAAAGTCTAAATAAATTTGAACTATAGCCTACTTGTGCTCCGGGAATCCATGTTTTCATTATTATATGGTAGGGGGCGCTATTAAACATCTTCTATACAGAATTTCCAAAACAAAAGCGAAGAGGAAACCGAAACAACAGATGCTTCCACATGTAATCTAACACGACCATCAGACATAAAACAGCATCAAAACTGTGTAATGTTATGGAATAAAATGTCACCCATGAAGAGGTAATGACTGTCAAGCTTTGGGGTGTTGATCGACTCCATCTACGTTTTGATTATCATTCTGAATCCAATTCATAGTCTTGTTTTCAGCTTTTTGTTCAAAATATTGTGTATTTATTTCTGATTTTTTTTTTTATTTATGAAACTTACCCACATTCGAGTGTTTATAAAAAAGAATGCATGAAGCTAGAATAAAATGTTTTTGTTTACAAGCAGATACCTTTCTTTCTTTTGATGTTGTGTATGTTCAGATGTCCATATAACAAAATATATACAAATTAATATCTAAATAGGGACATAGTAGTATGCTTAAAGTATGATGTAAAGTTCACTTAAAGAAAACTTACGAGTATACTTGCAGTATAAAACTACTAAACTAGTAGTTTACTGTGACTATACTTCATAGTTTACTTAAAATGCTACAAGTATTTAATTAGTAAACTCTCAGTATACCTATAAGTTCACTTTTAGTATAGTTGCAGTACAAACTAAAAACATATATGTAAACTAGTTGTGTACTCAAAGTTTACTACTGTTATACTTAATGTATACTTAAAAGTATACTTTTATATACTAGAAAGTGGGCCAATTTAGTCCCAATAGGGCCTTTCACACCGCTTTAGTTCCAGAACTAAATGTACAGTACTAAAGTACTGGGACGATTTTGCGGGAACTATTTCCCAGTACCATTTAAAGGGTTGCATTCGCACCGACAGTGTGTACTAGGAAGTGACGTAAGCCAGTCGACAGCGTCGTCATTTGTGCGCGGCGTTTAACAACAGAAACAAAAAAGAACAACATTAACAACAGGAGGATGGAGAAAGTATACTACTAGTACACTGATATTTGTATACATACTACATAAAGTATACTTAAAAATATACTTGATATTTATTTAAGTATACTTAATAATATAAACTTGAAGTATACTTCTTTTTGGTAAGGGACTTCTTGAAAGCTTTCATGCGATTATTTATTGTGTTACACCTTGTCTACACCGGACTCAACGCAACAACAGACGTGCCCGGTTTAGACAGTGGGGGAAATATGACGTCAAGCATCGCACTGGTTCCCTCGACAAAAAGCCTATAGGACTTTTTCATAGGCTTTTGGATTATCGCAAAAAATAAGCTCTGTGTTCAACCATAGTTCATGAAACGTACACGTTTTGTCCATCAAGATAATCTTCACAAAATAATAGAACTTTGATGAATTTTGAAGCCTAAATAAAAGCGCCAGAGCTTAAAAGCTAAACTTAGGCTACAAATGAACTACAGCACCACAGTCGCTCGCCTTCAGCATCACCACCACCACCACCACGCTTCCCACAACTTTTTAAAACTTGTGAAAAATTTTAACCCACACTACATGAACCTTTTCATATAAACTGGTCTATTAAATAACAGCAGAGTGAGCGCGTTGTTTGGATATGGTAAGATTAAACTTATTTTAGTGAATAAAGTACCACATTTCAGCTTTGTTAGGGTGGGTACACAAAATTTTATTTTACCCTTGCTTCTAGAAAATCCTCATATGCTACCTCACAGTTTCATGTGGCTGTACACATTTCATTTAACATGGCTCTAAGCACTATGCATCGTTAAAGTTTCACTGTCACTGCGACTAAGCCGGTAAATGTCGTGCTTACATGGAATAATCATATGAGTTTACCTTATGGTACAAACCCAGAGTCTCTGCATCAGCGGCAAACCGATAAAACGAGCATCTTCTATCCGAAGACTTGTGTTGCATTTCGGGGCAAAGCAAAAAAACATAGTTCCACCACTCTATTGTCCAGCTTTGTTAGGGTGGGTACACAAAATTTTATTTTACCCTTGCTTCTAGAAAATCCTCATATGCTGCCTCACAGTTTCATGTGGCTGTACACATTTCATTTTAACGTGGCTTTAAGCACTATGCATCGTTAAAGTTTCACTGTCACTGCGACTAAGCCGGTAAATGTGGTGCTTACATGGAATAATCATATGAGTTTACCTTATGGTACGAACCCAGTTTCACTTTAACCGTTACTAAGCCAGTAAATGTGGTGTTTACATGGACACGAGTCTCTGTATCAGTAGGAAAGCGATAAAACGAGCTTCTTCCATCTGAAGACTTGTGTTGCATTTCGGGGCAAAGCAAAAAAACATAGTTCCACCAATCTATTGTCAGATGCACCAGCTCTTGGTTGAAGGAGAGGGCTGTGGAGCAGCAGGTGGACATAGTGAATGCAGATGGAGGTGAGGGTGAGCAGGGCATCGGCATTGGAGTTAATTTTGCAGTGAAAATAATAATTGTTTCCATGGATGTGCCTAAACACGCTTATTATTCATTTCACAGTCTACCTGACCAGTGGGTCTCAACCAGGGTCCGGGGCCCACTAGGGCACCTCAGCAAACCTCCAACGGGGCTGTAGGACAACTTAAATTATTAAACACACCAATGGACGATAACGTTCTGTTCAAAATAAGCACACGCTGTTTTAAAGCTCTTTTAAAGCAACAGTAACTAAGGTCTTTGCAAAGGGTCAATTGACTGTCAATGTTTTTATCGTTCATCATCTTGGTTCTCTTTGACATTATTTTTATATCTGTGGTGTAGACTTCCCTATTCTCATAGAATTAGAACAATTATTAAAACTTTATAGTTGTAGTTATCGTCCTCGGTGTGAACAGTCCTTTAAAGTGAATTCAGGTCAAAGGAAACATTTCTGTTGGGAAGAGAAATAATCACATAGCCTGTGGTTTTGGGTTACCAGACCTGGGAGCATTGGGAGGCCACGCATCTAGAGAAAGAAAACATCGCCCTTTAGCAGAACAGGTGGCTGAAATGCAACTGTCAAACCACATGGAATAAGGACAAATACTGGCAAGGAAAATCATCCAAGAAGAATGAATACCTAGTACAGGCTTGCTTCAAAGTATTGGACATGTTTTGCCTCATCTGGGGGTAGATATTTGAAAGTTAAGTCATAATGGTGACCTCACAGATAACTGTCACCATCTAAACATACATAAAAAGCAAAGAAAGAACAACAAATAAGGTAATGTTATCTGTATGTTTTGCAATGACAGCAAGGTGTGTGAAAGTGCATACACTTCAGAAGTGTTGACAGATCGCTTAAGGCTAAATTTAACAAAGCAGTTTCATTGTAGAAGACCAAACCAAAGGAACAGAGGAAAGTTTGAGTCCAGCTGAGAAATCCTGCACTGATGTCATCAGTTTCAAGTATGGTTTACTTAAAGTTTAGCAAGTATAAAGATTTCACCAAAATATTTCAGGGAGTTACTCCAAACAGACCAACAGATTCCAAAGAAAGGCTACACATGCTCTTGTAAATGCACAGAAGAAACACTTTGGACAATGAATTTCTAAAAAAATACCTATTCTAACTATATTAAGAACAAGCCTCATGAGTTGTATCCAAAACAGAAGCAGTAACTTCAGGAGGGAACTTACAGTAGAGTGAAGAGTTAAAGTTGGCTCCATTAGTAAGTATTATTAGTCCTCAGCGCTCCTGTAGACACCCAGTGTAAATAAACATGTCCATTCAGCTGCACGCTCTGTGAGTTCACAGGGTGAAGCTGCAGTGAATGTGTCTGTCTTTTTAGCTCCAGCTCTGTCCCTGATTTCAGCCTGTCTGACTTTCCCTCCTGCGCTCCGTCCCTTTTCCCTTTTCCCTCGTCCCGTCTCCTTTCACTCTGCACTTCAGACAGATTCTCCTCCCACTAACACCGCTAGTGATAAATCCTCACTCCCTCAGACCTACTGAAAAAAGCTGTGATATTGTGTTGATTTGAAAGGGAACTCAAAAATTTTATTTAATTTTGTATGCATTTATTGAATCTCAGATTCAATTCTAAATTCATGATTTGAGGCATGTAGACTTTCTCACTTGCCTAATGTTTTCTTAACATAATGTTTCTAGTTCTTATGCACTAGAGAAAGCTCTGATGGAGCGTTTGACAGACCGGAATGCTTAAGGTGAGCAGCTTTCTGTTTGTCAGTGTGGTGAATTTGTGTGACCAACTTGAGCCCATTTTGAAGCGTCTTTTTGGCAAAATCTTTCACCCTCACACGAAATTCCTGATTGCATAGATTCCTATTGAAATGAATGGATTTCAAAAATTTGCCAAACAATAGTAAATATGATTACACATTAAAACTGGCAAGCAACATAAAATATATTTCCTTTAAAAAAATCTGCAAAATACAAGGCAACATTTGAATGGCCTCCAATCAAACAATGTTTTCTTAACATAAAATTGCCACTTAACACTTATACCTTGTGAATTGAATAACTCCTAATAACATCAAACAAATCTCTTACAGGTTAAAGGGTTGGTTCACCCAAAAATGAAAATTAGCCCATAAATTACTCACCCTCAAGTCATCCTAGGTGTTTATGACTTTCTTCTTTCAGACGAATCCAGTCGGAGTTATATTCAAAATTGTCTTTGATCTTTCAAGCTGTTTAATGACACTCAGCGGGTGTTGCAGTGCATCTGTCCAAAAGAAATAAAAAGCGCCCATCCTTAATAAAAAGTGTCTCACACGGCTCCGGGGGGTGAACAAAGTCCTCCTGTAGCGAATTGATGTGTTTTTGTAAGAAAAATAACCATATTTAAAACGTAATAATCAATTTAATCTAGGTTGCGCTCACTGTTGTAAACGGAAGCAGCTCCGGGAGGATGACGTATGAGGTCGGCGTTGCGCATGCGCCGCTCAGAAGTGACGAACGCGGAAGCGCAGCGGAGAGATCAAAACAAAACAATGGTCACTAATTAGAAGTACAAAACGAGGATTTGTAAAGAAGAATGTCGGAGGATTTCGATATAAGCCAAGAGGAGACGTTGGTTTTCACGAGACTCACCGGCGCAACGCTGACCTCATACGTCATCCGCCCGGAGCTGCTTCCTAGTACAACTGTTGGCGCAAGCTACATTAAAGTGATTATTACGTTTTGAATATGGATATTTTTCTTACAAAAACGCATCGATTCGATACAGGAGGCCTTTGTTCACCCCCCGGAGCCGTGTGAGACACTTTTTTTTTTATGGATGGGTGCTTTTTATTTCACTTCTTTTGGACTGATGCACTGCAACACCCGCCGAGTGTCATTAAACAGCTTGAAAGATGAAAGCTTGAAAGATCAAAGACAATTTTTAATATAACTCCAACTGGATTCGTCTGAAAGAAGAAAGTCATATACACCTAGGATGACTTGAGGGTGAGTCATTTATGGACTAATTTTCATTTTTGGGTGAACTAACCCTTTAACTACTATCTAGCAATACTTAAGTATACATTAAAATGTAGCATCTTTAACTATATGTTATGTATTGAGTGCAGTAATGGCTCGATAAAGTAAAATAGAGCATTGTTTTCACACACCCATCCTCAACCTAGGCACAAGCTCCACACTTCAGCACAATCGTATCAACAAAAACTCGAACATAACAGAGACTCTTTTAAATCCTCACATAAAACACAAACAAGGCTTCCTCTTTTCTTGTCTTTCCCAAAAACACATAAAATAAATATCAACATTTACTCTCCCAATCCAGTCACGCACAAAGCATGCTAGGAACTAGAAATCAACTTCCCTGTTAGATGCAACCAAAAATGTTAACAAATGGATTAGGAAAACTTACATTACACAGTGAAAACAATACATTTTAATTAAACTGTGTTGCATTGGCTCATTTTAATTTAGTAAAATAAAAATATTTTTCTCAGGGTGTAGTTACAGCACCATACCAGCAGGGTAACAAAACCTTCACCCCTTGAACGTCTCACATTATAAAGACTCTGGAAAAAGCGATCATGATTCATGTCCCACTTTATGAAGGAAAGTTCACTATTGGAACACTGGAAATATAGTTCCAGTGTTCCAATACTGTCACTCGCACTAATAGCTACAAGTTATTTACCTGCTTGGAGCAGAAATCAATGGATTTTCCACAACATTAAAATTATTCGTCATTGATATGATACAAACCCACAGCTGTTATAAATCAGCTATAAATCACAATTGCTTGGGAAATAAATCTACCATGTGCTTGCTATAAAACTCTTAACGGCAACAGCATACAATTGTGTTCATTAGCATTTGATAATAGTTTGGATGATAAAGTCCAAACTGGGACTATTTCCTTGTCCAGTAACCTCAACAGCATACAGCATCCTCTGCTGCTGCATACTAGTAGAATTCCACATACTGGGCTACAAACACAAACTCTTTGTGCACAGGACTCTACAACACACTTTATCAATCAGTAGTGGCAGCAGCAATCTTCTATGCGTTTGTGTGCTGGAAGCAGCATCAAGACTAGAGCTGCCAAAACACTCTGCAGCTTAATCAAGACACCTGGCTCAGACTTGGTGCTAAGAGAGGTGCTGTCTGAGGGGTGGACGCTGCCCAAACTCTCAGCCATCATGAAGGACGCTTCTCATTTACTCCATAAAACTGTTACTGCTCAGTAGAAAATGTCCATGGTGTTCTAAAGTGTACTGCGGTGTACTTCCTTCTTTCCTGATATCAGAACATACAGATCTGAGAATTGCGTCAGACAATTAATCTACATTCTATTAGTGTACAGAAGAGATTGTTGAAGCAAATTTACAATCCATCAATGACTAAGATTAGATTCAACAAGAGAAAAAAACTGAAAACAGCAAACATATGGTTACTGTCAATGTTATACATGATATTTCTACTATGTAAAAGCCAAATTAAAAAATATGAATATATTTTCTGATATAAAAAAACAGAGGTGGAGTTGGTTGCAGCTCCTTTAGTTTAGCACAAAACTGCCGAGTTCATTACTGAAATGAGCTGAATGGTCTTTCATTTAGATGTTATCTGGCAACAAAAAACATGCTTAGACCAGGCATTTTCCAACCAAACAAGCCTCTCCATTTCACATTCCCTCCCTCTTGCTCTTGTTCTCCTGGTGAGGACCAGCATGACTGATGTTCTCATAACCACACTTTCCAGTCTGCCTGACCACCAGAGGGGCATTAGGTCTGTGAAAAAGCCTGCCTCGAGTTCCAGGAAAAGCCAAAGGGAAATCCTACTCCTCTCAGATTCCACACTTGGAGAGGTGACAAACCTTTTCCAGCTTCAAACCTCAAGAAATTTGCTGGTTAAAATCCAGATGACTCCATATTTATTTGCAACACTGCTTTTATTTTGCGTTTCAGTCAAGTTTGAGCTTACGATACCGTTTTTCCCTTTGCGCTTCACGTTTCTGTCCTTGACTCCACCCCCATGTCAAAACAGTGCCAGAAAGCGAGATGCGCAGAAACGTGAAGCGCAAAGGGAAAAACGGTATCGCAAGTTCAAACTTGACTGAAACGCAAAATAAAAGCAGCGTTGCAAATAAATTAGTAGATATGGCCATGGAAAATATGTATTGCAAAATCATTGCTTTTGTGCTGTTTCATTTATATTTTGCAATTCTTTATTTTTGTTGGCAAAAAACACATTTATTTTTTTCTCAATACTTTTATTTTCGTTTGCAGAACTTTATTTTCTTTTGCAAAACTTTATTATTTTGCATATATATGTGGCATTATATTGACTCCATACCATTAGTGTGCACAAAATAATATTTAAAGGTAAGAAAGGTGCACATCAATCTTAACCTATTGAGTACAAAGTACTCAATCTAGCAAAAGTTTTGCTTGAAGAATGCAACAAAACCAAGACTTAAAGGAATAGTTCCTCCAAAAACAAAAGTGGCCATCATATTTTTTTTGGAACAAAATTAATGCTTTTTATTCAGCAAGGGTGCATTAAATTTATTAAAAGTGACAATAAAGACATTACAAATTATTTCAAATAGCTGCTGGTTTCCACACTTTCCACAAAATATATTAAGCAGCAATGTTTTCAACATTGATAATAATAAGAAATGTTATTTGATCATCAAATCTGCAAATTAGAATGATTTCTGAATGATCATGTGACACTGAAGACTGGCATGATGATGCTGAAAATTCAGCTTTGTCATAGGAATAAATTACATTTTAAAATATATTAAGATAGAAAACAGTTATTTTAAAGGGGTCATATGATGCGATTTCAATTTTTCCTTTCTCTTTGGAGTGTTACAAGCTCTTGGTGCATAAAGAAGATCTGTAAAGTTGCAAAGACTAA